CTCATAAAGTATTTTTCTGAGGTCTGTCTTATCAGGTAAATTACTGTACACAGTGTATTCATTAATTTTCATTTTCATGTAGTAAAGGCTCTATGCCTTCATAAAGTACGTACTTTTCCTTTGTTTAAGGGTATTTGGGCAGTTTATTCTCTGTTGTATTCTCCAGCAAACAATACATACAAGTACAATACACTATTTTCTGAGGAAACACGCATACTTATCCTTTTTTAACCCTATTCCCGATAACCGACATTTTCACAAACTCGGCCACCCTTCAGTCCACATTAGGCCGAGTTTTCGAGGTTCTACTGTACCATGAATAATTATATAAAATTCCTTTCATCATTTTACAATATTTTTTTATAAATGTGTTTTTTGAACAAATTTTTACTGTTGAAAATGAAGAGAATTCAATAAAAACTAAAATGTATTTTCCAAAATAAAATCATCTATTTATAAATAAAACTTTCAAAATGACTTTTAATTAAAAACAACTAATCACTACTTATTAAATTATAAAACATAAATATATTATAACAATACTTTGACAATTAAATTAAACTTACAGGCCATGTAAATTATACAACTTTATGGATGAACTTTTTATTAATTTAACTTTTCCCCAAGGTGCCAAACCAAGATCACCTTCTAAACTGGATACCTCTTGTTTGGCAATTTCCATTGCTATCCATATATGAATTACACTAAGATCTTCCAAACTGATGACGTGAAAGTTTCTGATAGAATCTGAAATATTTCTTCTTATCAATATTAACATGTTAATATTGATCATGTTAATATCTCAGTTTCAATTTTCAGTAAATATCTCATGCTGATATGTATCTTATAGAAATGGCATGTAAATTTATAAAAAAATATATAACCTGATACATATAAGTACATAATATAAATAAATACCATTCTTATTATTTTATATATGAATTTAATTAGTTAAAATTCAGAAAGTAAGAAATTGAAAAGGTAAAACTATAATTATTTTTCATTATATGTATGCTAAAAGTCCACATTAAGAACGAGTATGATTTCCATTGTAAATATGAAAAAAAAAATTTGTGAACATTTTATAAATGCAAATTTTTAGAAAGATTTGACTGAAATTTTTATTTTAAGAAAATGGATATTTATAAAATATTTAAATATTTTTATAATGAAAACATTCCAAGTTTGAAATGTTGAAATAATTAAAAAAAAAAATGGAGAAAATCTCATTTTTTGTTATAAAATCAAATTTTAAAAAATTTATTTTAAAAATTGTAATATTCTCTAGAGTCAGATTCCTTTAAAACTCAGTTTTTCAATCTTTCAAATAAAAAAAAGGAATTACTTTATTTTTAATACACCAATGTCAGCATTAATTTTTCATCCAAAGTTTTCTTTGAGCATTGTGCATTCCTGTACAGCAATGGTTCCCAATTAGTGGTACGCGTACCCCTGGGGGTACACGAAATTGCATGAAGGGGTACGCGCAACAATCTAAAATCAGTCGATTTAAAATATAAATGCATGAGATGAAGCAATAAAAAAATAATGGGTGGACCATCAAAAATTCGGCAATTTACAACATGATGTCAAATGCACAAATTCGTTTATTTATAACTAAAAATATTCTCGAAATTTCATCAAAAAAATGCATTTGCGACAATACCTAAATGAAATTCTTACACAAGAAACAAAAATTGTACAATTAACACAATTTGTTTTCGCAAAATTAATTTTGAAAATTTTTGTCACTGTTGCGAATAACTCCACCGACCACCTTCCCATCTCTGACCAAGAGGAATTAANTAAATGCAAATTTTTAGAAAGATTTGACTGAAATTTTTATTTTAAGAAAATGGATATTTATAAAATATTTAAATATTTTTATAATGAAAACATTCCAAGTTTGAAATGTTGAAATAATTAAAAAAAAAAATGGAGAAAATCTCATTTTTTGTTATAAAATCAAATTTTAAAAAATTTATTTTAAAAATTGTAATATTCTCTAGAGTCAGATTCCTTTAAAACTCAGTTTTTCAATCTTTCAAATAAAAAAAAGGAATTACTTTATTTTTAATACACCAATGTCAGCATTAATTTTTCATCCAAAGTTTTCTTTGAGCATTGTGCATTCCTGTACAGCAATGGTTCCCAATTAGTGGTACGCGTACCCCTGGGGGTACACGAAATTGCATGAAGGGGTACGCGCAACAATCTAAAATCAGTCGATTTAAAATATAAATGCATGAGATGAAGCAATAAAAAAATAATGGGTGGACCATCAAAAATTCGGCAATTTACAACATGATGTCAAATGCACAAATTCGTTTATTTATAACTAAAAATATTCTCGAAATTTCATCAAAAAAATGCATTTGCGACAATACCTAAATGAAATTCTTACACAAGAAACAAAAANTCAAAAAAATAATGGGTGGACCATCAAAAATTCGGCAATTTACAACATGATGTCAAATGCACAAATTCGTTTATTTATAACTAAAAATATTCTCGAAATTTCATCAAAAAAATGCATTTGCGACAATACCTAAATGAAATTCTTACACAAGAAACAAAAATTGTACAATTAACACAATTTGTTTTCGCAAAATTAATTTTGAAAATTTTTGTCACTGTTGCGAATAACTCCACCGACCACCTTCCCATCTCTGACCAAGAGGAATTAATAGACATTTCATGCAACAGCAGACTCAAGAGTTGTTTTGCAGAGCAATCACTGGGTAATTTTTGGGCTGACCTAAAAGACATTTATCATGTCAGCAAAGCGGCAATAAAATATTTACTATCATTTTGCATAACATACCACTGCAAGAGCAGATTTTCGGCCAAGACAAACATGAAAACTAAACATCATCACTGATTTCAACTCAAAGATGACTTGAGACTGAAGCTGACCAAAAACTTTATGTTATTTTCATTATTATTAGAATAGTATGTAAGGTAATAAAAGTAAAAAAAAACTCATTTTATTTATCACTAGCTGTCTATCACTACCCACAGCTTCTCCTGCATTATATCGAATTTTCTCGTGGGAGTAAGATATTTTCTCGCAGTAAAATGTAACCTATGTCCATCTCCAACATGTAAGCTATCTCTGTGCCAAATTTTATTAAAACCTGTTCAGTGGTTTAGGCGTGAAAAGGTAACAGACAGACAGACAGAATTACCTTCAAATTTATAATATTAGTATAGATTAATATGAATTTCTGCTATAAGGGGTATGTGAGTTTGAGCTCTTTCTTGAAGTGGTACGCAGGAAAAACTAATTGGGAACCACTGCTGTACAGTATACATGTTGGATAAAGAGAATAAAAAGTACTGCAAATAGCACTTTCACTTAACAGATCATGCACTGATATTGTAAAAAATCGGGTGCTTTAATTGACTAACTGTAAAAATATCAATATATTATTAAATTCAGTATATAATTTAAAAACAGTTTTTTCAAAGTAATTTATTTTATTAAAATAATTATGACCACTTGGATTTTTACATTGCTCATCTCTCTCCTACATAGTCTTTTTTTTTCTTATATCCTTCCATCCCTTAAACTGGGACAGATGGTTTATGGATAAACTCATACCATGAGTCTGAATTTAAACTTTTAAATTAATCAATTTTATTAAGCTTTGTTATTTACAATAAGTTAGAAAAACAATGCAAATGCTTGAAATAAGAAATGTTTAGCAGTTCTACTTCCATGCTATTCTGTATATACATTGACTATTCATTTTAATGTTATCTTGAAGGCCTAAGATCTAAATGGAGCACCATATCATTTACTTTGACAACTATTGATTGTTGTTTTGGAGTGTGAATGTAAAATGTTATTGATTTTAGGTTTCATGTCTAATTTGGACAAGTAAAAATGGGTAAAAAAAGATGTCTTAGAATCAAAAAATACAAAATAAATATAAAAATTAAATCTTAATTTGATATCTTATTATAAAAAATGTAAAAATATATAGCTTTTTAGTAATTTTTCAAGTATTTATCACAATACATTTATCAGTCTTATGAATTATGAGATATTCACTGAAAATTAAAAATCTGAAATTGGTAGAATTTTTTTTATAAAAATGGTAAACGTACTTAACTTCTTCTTTGATGGTGATGAAACATCCCTAGAAATTATCATCAAATTATTAAGATAAATGTATTAAATATAAACACAAAAATAAAAAATTAAAATTAGTCACAAGGTCATTACCCAGATGATGAGTAAGGTAAAGTTTTAATTGCAACAACACAGCTGTGATGACCTTCTTCTCTTAAAACTGTTGCTGTAATATTTAAAAAAAAAACTTATTTAAATGAAATTAGAAAATCTTTTCTAAGTGGAATTAAATGCAATAATTCAAATTTAATTAATTATGTATATATTAAACTTTATGAATTAAATTAATGTTAATAAAATTTTTGAATTTTATTTTATGTAATTTCATTACATGAAAATTGTAAAGATATATTCCAATAAAATCAGTTAACTTTTTAAATAGCATATTTATTTCTATATGTATATAATTTTTATTATTTTCTGTTTAAATAATTATTTAATGTTTATTCATATAATCCATTGTAATATTAACTTAATTATTTTTAATTATCCCAAAAGTATTGGTAATGTTACCTCACAAAATATCATAACAACTCATTTAATTTTGCAATGATTATGATAACAGCAAAATTTAAAACTAAATTAAAAGTATTAAAATAAAACTTTTCAATATTGTTTATCATTTTTGCTAATAGTAAGTTATATTATAAATATATATATATTTTTATGTAAGTAAAAGTAAACTAAACTTTGGTGTTGAGTAAATTAAATAAATATTAAATGGAAGTTTATTGTATTAATCAAAGGTATAACAATAGAAAAATAATGATTATTTTATTTAACATAATTAAATT